CTGTCGAAACTCTGATGATTGGCGAAAACCCCAAATGCGAAACTCTGCTGAAACTCTAATAAACAATTAATGTGTAACCTGTCAAAACTCTGTCGATTGATTTCTGGAAGAGTTTCTCCCACAACCTTACATGTGTATTTAACACCTTATTACACATGATATACAAAGTTAAAAAAATAATTATCTAACATTATTCTTAGACAACAATGAGTTAGACATTCAGGCAAATTCTTATGTCAGTAACTTTTGTCAATTATATTTCACTATAATATGTTTTTAATAATACATAGAAAATAAAATTACCATATTGTCTGAAATATAAACACTACTATTTTAATGTGTTTTGGTCAGAAAAACTAACTGTTATTCAAGAAATTTTATGCCACTTTTATTTCCTTAATTTATCATTCTAATTTACTTTTCTCAAACATTCTTTGTACTCTGCAAAACAACATGGTCTAAGATCAATTGGGTATAAACCTATTATTGATCACTTAATGATCTCTCATTGGCAAAGAAAAGATGATAAATTAGTAAGAAAGCACAATATCCTGAGGCAGAAGGTGACTCAAAAGCATGGATTTTTGAATTTAGCAGGATGGACTGTAACTCCTAAAATTGTTAAAGTTATATGAAGGAACTTTTAATAAATCAATTTGTACCCAGGAATGCTTCACATTGTTGGTTTATTATTATGGCTTTCTTAGAAGGCATAATCTTGCTATGTGACAAAAAAAAGATTGGTCAAAACTTCCTGCCATCTTGACATCAATTTTCTCAAATTCCAATGATTAAAGAAAAACAATTGAATATGAACTTTCAGAAATTGGAAGAAACCCCTGTTCATTTTGCCATGATTGGGAAATCTAACTATATATAAATATGGCGCAAAACTGTGCAGGTTTGAACAAATTACATGTGTCCTTGCAATTCTTACAGATGGTACAAAATTACCATCAATTGTTATTTCTAAAGGTAAATGAAAGCCAAAAAGTTCACTTCCCCAAATCATTATACTAATACATCTAAAAGGATGGATGGACAAAATTAGAATGAAAGCTTAATTTTACAAGATGTGGAAAAGAAGATCTGAAAATGGATAGCTTTGAAAGTCACAAGACAGATCATATCAAAATAAAAATATTGATTTAATGATCATTCCAGAGGGTTTGCCTCATTTAAAGATAGACTTTGAAAAAGTGGAATACCTGAATGAGTTTGAGTAAATTCGCCTATAACATAATTGGAAATTTGAGAAAGCCTGAATGGATTCTTGAGGTTTGGAATGAAATTCCAAAAGAAATGATTTAAAAAAGTGTGATATTAGTAATGCAGTTGATGGACCAGAAGATCATTTATTTGGGCAAGGAAATGAAAATGAATGTGAAATATTAGAATTCTGGAAAAGAGAATCCTGTTTGTTATTTATTATGAGAATCAAATAAAAATAATTTAAAAATATATTTATTCTCTATTTTTTTGTTGCAAATTCATACTGGTGCTTATATTCAAGTGACTCTAATATTCCAGACAATACCAGTATGTATGTAATACATGAATTACAAATTTTATATTGTACGACGGTCATGTGAAAACACGGGTGTATTTAAAGGGTGGTTTTATCATGATTGAGATTATCAAAACCACAGGTTACTTTTTCTTAAGATATCTTTTTGGGAAATCTACACTTTTTAAATCAAGACAACTTTTATTACCGTATATAAAATAAAAACTGGATCACCGGGTCAATTTGAAAAATTTTTTTTGTAAATATCTACGTGTCACCTTATAAATTTTTATACAACATAAGGAAAGAAATCACATAATTAAGTTGACCGTAGATTACACTGTAAAAATGTAGCTGGGAGAATTGTATCCGAGTCACTCTAATGCAAGTTCCGGAAAGTGGATGGTAACTATAGGACCTTTTGTTGAACAGCTTTGAGACAAATACCCTAAGAAACTTGAAATCCTATAGAATTAATTACATCTCTCAACATCCATTAAGTTCTATTGGTACAGAAGTGTTGTTATTGTGTGCACAATTATTCTATGTCTCGTTACATTCCAAAATTCCATGTGCATTTTATGCAGTTGGTGCATTTTTTTAAAAAAAAAAAAAAATACAAAAATAGTAATTTCAATATTATTATTCCTTTTTTCTATTCTAATTTTTTTCAATATCCGCCCACAATTACTGGTATTTTGAACATTTTTTAATAAATTTAAAACCGCATACAGGTGTCAATATTAATATTATTATATATTTTTTTTTTGTAACTGAGCAATTTTAATTGGATAGAAATTATATGTGGTATTGCGTAAATTGAAAAAAAATCATACGCGCATTGCATAAAAAGTTATATTTCAGGCATAAATAAAAGATGAAATATTATCTGATAATAAGCGAGCAAGCAAATATAGCTAAATTATTTATAAATTAAATATATTAATGTATATTTTCTAACTTATTAAGGAAAATGATCATTGTTTTTGATTGGAGAACGAATTCTTTGTGACCAAGATATAAAAAATGGTCAAAAAAGAAATTAAATTTGACGGGATTTTTTTGGTTCTGCTACTGCATGTATATGTAGGCAAACCACCGACGACAAACCTGTCAAGGAGGGTAACAAGAAAATGATGTCAATGTTGTACAGTGGTAGAAACAACGATTAGAAGAATCACCCGATTTTTACTGCAACAGTGGCAAAATTATTTAATTGTACGCACGGGTGACCCGTCGATGTTCTGTAACAAGATGGTGGTGTCATCTGTGGTAAATACGTTTGATGTGAAAATGGAATAAATAATCTAATCTTGTTGCTGAAGAATTTAATGGTAAAGATTACGGAAAAAAGAAGAATTATATTTTGTAAATTGCCACCAGACCATAAAATTGGGGAATTTTTTTTTTTTTAAAAATTTTTTATTTGATCTACATAATTAATAAAATTAATATATTTTTTTTTATTTTGACTATTCCCTCCACCTCTAATTCATTTATCTAATACTTCATGTTCACCTTCCCCTTTCTCGAGCGAATGATCTTCCGATCCGTCAATCGCATTACTAATACCGCCACATTTTTAACAATCATTTCATTCTAAACCATTACAAATAACATTATGTTCAGGCTTTCTCAAATTTCCAATTTTGGTATAGGTGAATTTACCCAAACTCATTCAAGTATTTCATTCCTATCTTTAAATGGTTTGTTGATGCAACATGGATTTGAATGACAAAAATAAAAATGTCATAAAAATGATCTGTCTTGTGACCTTCAAAGCTATCCATAAACAAGGAGAGCTTTTTTTTTTCGTAATTCCATTTCAGATCTTCTTTTCCACATCTTATCAAACCATCTGCAAAAATTGCAAGGACACATGCAAAATGATTTCTTTTTATTTCCAGTCAAAATTTGGCATCAAGATGAACAAGAAGCTTTTGATCAATCTTTGTTTTACGTCATATAGCAAGATCATCCTTTCAAGAAAGCAATAATAATAGAGCAACATTGTGGAGGATGAAATCTTTTTACTGGCACCTGGATAAGTATCACATCAAATTGATACAAGTTTTAACAATTTTGGAAGTTACAGTCCGTCTGCCAAATTCAAAAATCCATGCTCATCAGCCTCCTAAATCATTACCTTTTGTTTTTATCAATGGAGATCATTGAATGATAAATAGTAAAATGGCGCTCAGGCCATGTTATTTCGCATATTGCAAAACTTGGAGTTCTGTGGAAAAAAAAAAATTTAAAAAAAAATTGAAATTAGTAATAGGGTTTAACGCAAACGTGACACAAAATCTCTCTAATACAAGCACCCCATGTTAAAATGGAGGTGTTTATACCAGACATTACGACATGCATTCTGTGTGTTACATCAACCAAATAAATTTTTTCTCAATAATAATTGTTTACAGACTAGTCAGTTCTTTTTCTTTATAAAGTGGTCTGTGTGCTACTTATAAATATTTACTAAATAATAAATAACACGCATATACATTATAATATTAATAGATAGATTGCTTACCAATATAAGATGGCAGGAAACTGTTGAAAATTATTGTATTTTTTACTTTATTTATAATCTAATCTAGAAAATAAGCAAAATTAATAACTCAACAACCACTTAAAAACATTGCATAGTCGTGTGTGTATCGATAAACAGAAGGATCAAAGAAAAAAATAATGGATTTGTTTCCATTATATTTATTATGTTATTAATAGGAAAAATTAAAATAGACGTTTTACTTACTTATTTTGGCAATTAATAGTGGGGATATAAAGAATATAACAGTTGTCCTTATTATAAAATTACCATAATTTTATTCTCTTAAGGTTAGTAGTAAATGACGCAGTAATATAAGTTACACAAATGTAAATCACCAATCAACAATACTATTAATAATAAAAATAAAGTTTTTATTTATTGCTCTGTGCTTATTTGTTTATCGAGTACAAAAATTATCATATTTAATAATCAATATGCGCACAATACGCGTTCGAAATAATTACGGCAATATTTATCAATAAAAAAAAAAAACCAAATTTTTTTTTGAAAAAATTTGGGTTAGTATATTGTTTATTCATAGTTTCCTTTTTTTAAAATGTGCGATTGCGTGTGAGTGTGTGACAGTCACAAATATATCATCTTAATTTTTTATTTCAGCATTGAAATTTAATCAATGCGATTCCTTTAAAACAAAATTCAAAAAAATATATACAGTCTAAAAATAATATATTAAACCCCCCTTAAAATATATTTTTTTAAACTGAATTAAACGCACAAACATTTAAAACAAAACTTATTGTTTTCTAAACAGATTTTCCATACCGTATATTATTAAAAATTTTTTTTTCAAAAAAAAAAAAAAATATTTGAATTTTATTCACATTATATAAATATTAGACTAAATTTTTTCTTCAATATCTTTTTAAAATATTTTCCCCTTTGTGTAAATCTTGTAAAAAAAGGTTATCATAATAATTATACATATAAATATTTATTATACAAGATAAAAAAATCTTTAGGAAAAGGAAAAAGAAATAATTTTAACATTCTTTATATATCATATATATATATATATATATATTAATAACTATTTGTAATCATACATTTTATATATTATTATTTATTCAATCTTTAAATTATTTTATTAATTAATTATAAGCGAAAGAATTCATTTTCCATCATCATCATCATTAGCAATAATAATAATTAATATTAATAATGTTACCAGCTAAACGAACACGTCTATCAGAACCATCATTTTCTACAAATTCTACCAACAACAACAACAACAACAACAACACTACCACTACCACCACCATTAACAACAGCAGCAACAACAACAACAACAACAACAACGACGATGATGAGTTATTGCAAAAACAGTTTTCGTCAAGACAACTTTATCAACAAAATCGTCATCGTTTATTATCGGAATTCGATCTTTCCAATATTTCGAATAATCCAAATAATCAGCCACAAACTCCTCAATTAAATCATCATCATCAACTTGATCATCAATTTCATCATAAACAACCGCAACCAAAGTCACCATCATTACCTTCAACCGGCTTGGAAAAGACAAATCAAAATTTAACTAAAAATGATCTTCAAAGAATTGAAAGCAGTATTGATTTTATTCTTGAAAGTTTACAACAAAGTTCAAAAGATAATAAATCATCTTCGCTTTCTCGTCCCAACAACAATAATGTGAATTCGATTGTTCTTGATCTTCCCTTATTAATAGATTCGAAACCCGAAGAAAAAAAGCACGAATCACCTTTATCCGCTTTGTTAAATCACACTTATCCTAAGTGTGTTGTAGATTTAGTAAATAAATTAAATAAAATGTCTATAAATAATCCCAATTTAGATCTCGACAACTTATCTAACAAGTTTCTAGGCAATAATAACAATAAATCATCCTCCTTGTCTTCATCGTCATTGTCATCATTGCCATCTCCAACATCATCGTCAGCTTCATCATCACCATCCATATCACCTATGTCGTCATCAGAAATTTCTGGCACAACAATTCCACAACCACCATCCAAAGAATTATGTCAAAAATTGATACAAGACTACTTCAAAAAATTTAATCCGGTATTTCCTATACTTGATAGAAAAAGATTTATTGATCTTTGGCGGAGCAAATCCATCTACTCCGAACTGTTGGTCAACTCAACTATGGCGTACGTTGCCTCAAGATCACCATATGATCCATCAATTCAAAACATCGAAAGTAAACCTGGTGGCGTGTTCTTTGATGCTGCAAAGGTAAATAATAAACATTTGTTAAATATAGAGAGCGCAAAGCAAAAATTATAACGTTAATTTAAAATTATTAATGGTTTTTTTTATTTTTGTTTGAATAACATTTAGAAAATACTTGATTCAGTATATGAAAAACCTAAACTGGAAACAATTCAAGCTTTATTGCTCCTATCATTATCCGAATCCAATATTTCAAGAAGGGATAGTAGCTTCATGTTTTTAGGCATGGCTGGTATGTCAATATATCTATATTAATGTAAAATATTATCTTTTTGTAAATGCACATCATATTCTAACCACGTTCATATTATTCATATCATATCCACATCGTCATTCTTATTTTTTCGTCCTCCCATTTTCACAATAACAATTAATTAGTCTCGATGTCAAATTGTTTACAATTGGAACGTGTGAACGATTCATTGTCGTCAGAGGAGAGCGAAGAAAGACGTAGAGTGTTTTATTGTATCTATTGTCGCAACAGATGGGTCTCCTTCATTCACGCCAAACCATACTCGGTTGATGACATGGACATCAACGTACCGCTACCAGAACTACTCAACTTTGATCAACAAACCAAAAGTTTCTTCATTGCATTAATAAAACTATCACATATCCTGGGCCAAATATGGAAGTTCGGCTATACCACACATCCAAAAGCCTGTTATGAACATTGGCAAAGTCACGTAGCTGATCCAAAAAGTATGTTGAGACAAATCAGATCTGCCTTGGCAAAATGGTTGAAAGAATTGCCGGACGAATTACAGTATCAGTATTTGCCAGATGCAGATCCAGGAAGCCTTTTACACTTATCCAGTTTCTCGGTGTTTTCTGGTTATATCAACATTCTTTTCCACACTTGTCTCTTGTTATTGCATCAACCTTACCTCACAAATTCATCACCACTGTCATTATCATCGAAAACAAATGCTCAACAAACAAAATACCATAATTACAATCCCTACCAATTTTATAATCCTGCCTTTGGAGCTTCCAATAAATATGTTACATCATCGTCTCAATTTAACAATGTGCCAATTAAAACTTGTTTAACAGCTGCAACAACCATAACCGACATATCCAGAACAACAAGAAAATTCGATAAAACAGCGTTTTGTAATTTCATATTTCCAGTTTATGGTATCTTACAAGCAGTTATGCTCGAATCTGTTATAATTAGTAATGGGACAATTGGTTCGACGGCCGAGTATGCACAAGAAGCAAAAAAGGTGCTAAATGACACATTTGAAGAGTTAAAATGTGTAGGAAAGGCTATTAATGTTGCTGAAATGACGGATGTTATTAAAGAGGTGGAAAGAATTTTGACGCTTACTAATACAAATGATTTCACTATACCTCTTCCATTCCTAATTCAACTTTTAGAATTCCAATCTAATCGTCAAAGTGCCAATGACAATCATAGTAATGGGAATAATAATAATAACAATGGTAATAATAATAATAACAATAATGATGATAGTGTTGGTGATAATAAAGGGGACGTGTTTGGTAACAATAATGATTCAAATCCAAGTGAGTTGAGTGGTGGTGATATTAAAAGTACTAATAACAATGATTATGATAACAATAATAATAATAATAACAATACCAATAATAAACGATGACGATTTTGTTGATAAAGTTGTCTTGACGAAAACTGTTTTTGCAATAACAATAACAATAGTAATTTTATGACAACAGCGGATATAGCAACCGAGTCAGTTGCAAAAACATCCAATTTGCGAAGGAATAACAGTGATTCGTTGTTATTTAAAACATCTAGCAATTTTGCTAGTAGTAATAATAATAATAACAATAACAACAACAACAATAATATTGCTATTCTTAGCAACAAAATCTCAATCTCATCATTACCAGATGCAACAAATTCAAATTCTGACGCAGATATTGGTGGGGACACAGTTATGGAAGATGCTTCATCCCAAATTGTTGATTTATCTATACCATCATCCAATAACTACAACAACACTGATAATAATAATGATTGTAATAATGACAATTTATTTATTATGACTTCGACTCCACAATCACTAATAACATCATCATCATCATCAATATACACTACATCGAATGATCTATTTCCAATATCTACTACCACAGTTACTGCCAATAATAATAATATCAATAATGATAATGATAATAATAATAATAGCGTATCGTGGGAGCAACATTTATACGACGACAATATATTTTTCGATCCAGCTTCGTCTTCGTACTCAACTACTACCGCTATTATTAATTCATCAAGTATTGGTGGTTTAGTAGGTGGAAATGTTGTTGGAAATCATCATTTGCACAATCAGCATCCTTATTAACAACTCTTATGATATTTATACAAATATAGTTATTTATAGTTTAGATATATGTGTTTAGGTGGTATATAGATAGGCTGGGTTTATAATATATATATATATTTAACATATGTACAATTTTTTTTTTAATATAAAATTAGTAAATTAGTAAATTAGTAGTAAATTAGTAAATAATAATAATTAGAGGTTTTTTTATAAATTAGTAAATAAGGTTAATTTAAGTTAAACATTTTTTTTTATAATTTAGCCAATCATTTGAATATATGTTAAATCCTCTTTATTAAACAATAAAAGGTTGTTTTAAA